ATAGGGAATAAGTTGGGGCAGAGCATCTCGATGTCTATATCGACAATTGCATAAAAGGGAGTAGTCCTATCCGTATAGTGCAGGTAGCCTAGCTTGTATGCATTCATGGTAGCTTCGAACTTGGATTCCTCAGTAGACTTTCGATAAACGCGAAATCTAGCCATGAGCTTGTCATAGCTAAGAGAGATGTCAGCATTCTTGTGCTCAAGACGAAAGTATGCATCTTTTCTACTAACCAAGTCAGCAGCAAAAGAAGGGGCAACAACAGACGAATTTCGGATAGTTTCAATAGCAAAAGCTACTCCTTTTTGAAGTAGATGAAATATTGCTTCCCTTTGTTTTTCTAAGGAAAGACTAGAGAAAGTACAAAGATCGCCAACCTGACGGATTTGATCAACCAGCTCAACACAAGTGGATTGGCTTGACAGAAAGTTCGTCTTGAGTAGATCAGACACGCCCGCATCTCCGACAGGATTGAACTTGTCCACCTCAGGGTTAGCCGTTAGCAGATGACTCTCTCGTCTTCTTAGCCTTTCCAACCTCACCTCCAAATGAGTCAATAACGCTGAATCAACTCCATGCTTGATTGTCCCTGATTTAGCAGCTAGATCGTGAGCAGACCTCCCAGTTCGATCCCCATCCTTCGACTGATGCAGGCGACCTGAACTTCGAAGAGGAACATATGTAACTCTTTCGCTCTCAGTAAGTGAATTAGATCGCGCATGATCATGGTCTTCAAGTTTGTCAGCAGGAGACTTGAGTAGAACATCTCGAGCGCTGCGCATACCACCAACCTTCTTGCTATCTGTACTAGCGAGATGCTTAGCCCTAGCAGATGATGGAGCAGCTCCTACTTATGTCTTCTTAGCAGAAGGGAGCCTTGGTTTCTTCCTCAACGGAGATACATCCTTCGCTCGCGAATCCGCAGCTCCATTTCTTGAAGACTTAACATCAACCTTCCTTTTTGATGAGGGGTTCGGTAGAACACTCCTCCTGTTCTGCAAGCAGATCATCCAAGTCTAGAACGTTCTGCTTCCATCTCTCAACACCTTGGGCAGGGGGCAGACCATCAACCTCCCCCCGAGGCTCGCAATGCATGAGGCCCAGCATGCTCCAGCCTAGACCTGCGATGGATAGACAACAGCTGTTCCACTTGTGCGCACCTGCTCCAGCACAGCTACAGCCCACTAGCAACCGTCGCCTGTCACGACAACAACTAGCCGGGCTTCCCCCACAACCCACAAAAAAGAAGAAAAAGAAATATAGGTGCTCGACTTACCTTGGAATGCACGACGACTCCTCTCTTCGACAAGCAGTACAAATTCTCCAATTTCTCTCTCAAGCTAGAAAGTAAAGAATTTAAGTTTGTGATGTGAAGAAGAGTGAAGAGCTGCATTTACACAGGTTGAGCATCCTAGGTCAAGAAGGAATTGCAAGTCCATTCATACTAGGAACCCAACTCTAAGAACAGTCAAAAGCCCACTCCAATTGGGAACCCAATATGCAAAAGGAGTCCAACTCCCTGAAAGAAGCCCAGTTACAGCTGGACAACCTAATAGTTAATTCACACCTCCTCCATGCCACCACGTGCCATGCAGAAGCTGGGGGGCATTTGTGGGAACCAAATTAAATCAAAACCCTAGGTCAAATATTTCCTTTCATTTGGGGATTATTTGACCTAATTGGGAGTTACTTAATTTAATCGGGGGTTACTCAATTTAATTGGGAGTTACCTGATTTAATTGGGATTGATTTGATTCCTACCATAATTAGGGATTTGATTTAATCAAATCCCTAATTAATCAGATCTCGCCAAATCGAGGAGGAATAATTCATTTCCATCTATGGAATTATTCCTCTGAAACCCTAGCCTCCTAGGCCCCTATAAATAGATGGATATGCACAAAGGTTGATGTACATCTGAATTCTTATTGAAACTATGCAGAAATCTTCCCTTCACAAACCCTAGCCGCCTCCTATCTCTCTCTCTCTCTCTCTCTCTCTCTCTCTCTCTCTCTCTCTCTCTCTCTCTTTTACATAAGGCTCTGGCTGCCCGGTTTACACCATAAACATATCTTCGTACCCTATTAGCTATTGTTTTCTCTACGAATCAATTGAACTAACTTAGGCATCGGAGGGCCTTTGGCCAACACCCCCCGGGTGTGGTCCTCTTATTCGAATTTATTTTGCAGGGAGAAGGAGACGACGAAGAGGAAGACGAATCTTAGAGAATATTCCCGTGGGATGAGAAAGCGCTCCCACATATATGATGAAGACAATTTTAATAATGATGGGGGGTTATAAAAGGGACACTGACTCATGAGAGATCACAAGGTGCTTTCTTCCACTTGAACAACCAGATTTGAGGTGAAATATTATTGGGCATTCACTAACAAAATACTTTGAGGTATTTACACCAAAGAATTGATATATCTGTCGACACATACAGTTGCACAGATCTATAGTCTCAATCACTACCAAGGTCAAGTAGACATGAGTTGGAAGACATAACCATGTGAACTTTCGAACGCTTGTACTCTATTCCCAAGCCCCACTCAAATACCACTCATCAAAATTCTATAGATTTTGTTGAAAACCCTTTTACAATTTTGTTTACCTGTATTCTACCCTAGGAAACAAGTCATCGCGTTTTCTACTAGCAAATCTGTTGAAATTTCAACATCATGACAAATTTTTAGGCCTAGCTCTTAAATAAATAGGTTTATTGTTTTAGTTTTGATAACGTCTGCTGGTCTGGCCAGTCAATCAAGAAATGTAGGACATTGTTTCTTGATTTTGGTAAGTGCCTCGTGAAGTTTTCTTGATGAATTGGAGACATGAGCATGTGAAGTTTTCTTGATGACTTTAGGACAAGTCCATGTGAAGTTTTCTCTCAGTTACTTCCACCGGTGCTTCATCACCAATCCTTTAGGTAACTGGCTTACAGCACTTTTTCTCTATATATATACTTGATCATATTCAGGAGCAAACCACCAAGTCTTTTAATTCTAAATTCCCAAAGAAAGCTTAATTTCTCTCTTCCTCGTTGTTAATTTGCATTCTTTTTCAGAAGTTTTAAAACCATGGGTTTCCGGTTGCCTGGTATTGTACACGCTAAGAAAAATCAAGTACCTTCAAAGGGCTTGGATGTTCCTAAAGGCTACTTTGCAGTGTATGTTGGGGAGAGCCAGAAGAAGCGGTTTGTGATTCCGGTTTCATTCTTGAACCAACCTTCATTCCAAAATTTGTTAAGTCAAGCTGAAGATGAATTTGGGTATGATCATCCATTGGGTGGTATCACAATCCCCTGCAGTGAAGACACCTTCCTTCATCTCATCTCGCGCTTTGGTGTATGAGCACAACATGCTTCATACATGCACAATTTTGACACCAGTGTCTACAAAGACAAATTTTTGGATCTGAATTTGCAGCCAAGACATCCTTGATGAGGAGATGCTAACTGCGGATGAATTGAAGACAACTTCGATAATTCACAGTTTATAACTTCAAACCGCTTGTGAGAGCTGAGGAGAAAATGGCCACCTAGCAGATAAAATTAACCGCCACCCTTGCTCAAGACTGTTATTGCTTTACTTGGAATTTGAAAGCTGGCAAGATCAGTTATTCAACCCCATGTACTTAGTTGTCCTACAAGAAAAATTGAGATTAGCTATTTTCCTTTTGATTGAACAATTTACAGTTCTGTACGCGATGATCATTTTTCATTTAATTGATATCTACTGGCTACCATGTAATGTTTAATTAATCTGCATAGGGAGCAGATTTACACAAAATTACTAATGGAATATTTGACAGAAGTTGTTTCTAGCAGCAACGAGCTTTGAATTCGCCATGAATAGCTCTCTAATCCATGCTTAATTTCCAATGAACATACTATTGTTGTTCCACTCTCATAAAAGTCAAATATATGATTTTGGTTTCCACGAAATCAAATTCATTCGACCAACCATAAGTTGAACTATCCACCTTGTAATCATTTGTCTTTGAACCTAAGATCTAGGAAGCACTTGGCCAACCTATCCCATTGCCACTTGAGCTAGAGCTAATGGGCAAGGTCAAAGAAAAGTATGGAAAGGCAATAAAATTCTCCCTGTAACAAAAAAGAAAGAAAGGCGATATGTTTGGTAATTCGGTAAAACAGGCCAGGCCTGATGTGAAGAGACTGATCAGGTCTATGAAACTGCCATTGATGTGTACTTGTCAAGGTATGAGAATAAGAGATGTTTGGTTACCAAACATCTCACTGTATCAAGATATGTGCTCGTCATGCTGATGCAGCTTAATTAAATTACAGACTTTTCCTATCCACAGCTAGGCACATTCTGATTGCCAGAGTGGTTCAACTGTAGTAAAATTAGTTTTTGCTTTCAGCAAAGACAGAACCATCTGATCTTCAAATGCTTATGTCTCCCAAACCGTGATTATGATTCAAACCAGCTGCTGATGGCTGGAGACCACAAATTCATGCATGGAAAGGCAGAGGTCACATCACTATCTAGCTACAATGTTCAAGAGATACAAAGAAGCCTTAGGAGAACATGCACATACAGCACAGCATCCACTTCACAAGTGATTGTCTAGAAGGTTGATGTACTATCCATATGCAATGACCTTTGGAACGTTAGGTAATACCAGCTAATGCAGGTTTTTTTGGTTGAGAATACCTTATATATGCAACTGTTCATATCCTTTGTTTTTTACCTGCAGATCTTCAAAACTTGCTTAGACATGTAATGTAATCTACTTTTAACTCCAAAGAGGTTTTCTTTTCAATTGGTTAAGATGAAACATCTATTCAGACAGAATCTTTGTAATTAAAGACATGCATAAAACTTGATAACTACCCAAAATTTTGCAGATTAACAAAATTATAATTATTGAATAATTCAAATTAGAAAGTATCAAGCAAGTCATCCACTGCAAGAGGCCAACCAACTTATTAAGAAGAAAGATGCATGCTCTAATTGATGTTACGGCAAAGCATGGATTAGTATTATATGTGGAGAATTCAGTACTCACGTATGTTTAACTCTGATACCTATAGTGATTGCTTGCATCACTTTGCTACCATAAGATAAAAATGAAATTAATTATGAATCAGAATAGTAAATATCATCTTCTAACGTGTTTGAGTTTTTGTAGAACAACTAAGTACATGGTTTGACACTAAACAATATTGCTATTTATCAATCTCTATTCAAAGCAACATTGTACTTGGCCAGCGGTTCGCAAGTTTATATCCGCAGGGCTGGCCATTTTCTCCTCAGCACACAAGCGATTTGGAAGTTCTAGCCCATCAATTAGCCAAGGTGTCTTCAATCAAGGGATGTGAGATGTCATTAGTAATGCATGATAAACCCAAGCCCTTTCTTCATCCAGAGATAACGATCTCTTCAATCCTCATTCTCCTGCTTCACTTGCAATCCAAAAATTGCTCCTTAAGTAGCTCAAGTACATATGCAGCCAATGGTGTCAAAATTGTGTTTATATGTCAGCCTCAACTCATAGACCAAACTGAGAGGTGAGATCAAGAAAGGTGTCTTCGTTGCAGGGGATCGTGATACCACCCATTGGATGATCATATCCAAATTCTTCTTCAGCTTGACTTAACAAATCTTGGAAAGAAGGGTGGTTCAAGTACGACACTGGAATGACAAACCTCTTCTTTTGGCTCTCCCCAACATAGACTGCAAAATAGCCTTTAGGGACATCTAAGGCCTTTGAATGTACTTGGTTTGAAGTTGGTAAAGACTGAAGAAGATTTTTCTTAACATGTAAAATACCAGGCAACCGGAAACCCATGGTTTTGAAATTTCTCAATGACAAGAGAACGAAAATGAAGATTTCAAATAAATTGCAAAACAGAGAAATCTTTGAATATGTGTGATCAATGAAAGACTCGCTTTGCTTTGTTCCTCAATCTGATCATATGTGTATATATAGATAAGGTAGTATACTGAAAACAATCTGTTACCTAAAATGATTGGTGTTGAGACACCAGGATGGACCCAATTAGTGAGAGACATTAGCTCATGGAGTATCACATGGACATGTCTTCTAATAAATCAAGAAAAACTCACAAGCCAATGCCCAAAATGAAGAAACATCATGTCCTAACTCTTTTAATAGCTGCAAAGACCAACCGAAGTAATTAAAAGACTAATACAAATATATGTATATCCTATGTAAAGTGTAAGCCATTAGCAGATCAAAGACATGCTTGAGACCAAGTAGACCCAGTACTAACTTGTGGATCAACTCTCTCATAGCAATTAATTTTCCTAACCACAGGCTACTTTGCAACACACGCCATACGTAAAGTGATGCGAGAGATAGGGCCAATTTCTGAATTGACTGAAGAAAATGGTACATACCTACTTTATAAACTAGGGATTGCTTGCCGCAATTTGATCTTTCTTAGAACAAAACCACATGGTGGGTGTTTATCTGCTCTGAATTCAGCTATCATAACCTTTTAAGTTCATGTCTCCAAATCACTGCAGGAATGGATTTTGACTATCACATAAGCTGGCAGCTTGCATTTTGTGATTTTTGCACCTGGTACGTACCCCAATATTTCAGATTTTAATTAGGTGGGACATGATGTTCCTCCGTTATAGAAATTAACTCATGAGTATCTCTTGATTAGTTGGAAGACATATCCATGTGATACTCCATGAGCTAATGTCTCTCACCTGGGGTCCATCTTCATCACTAATCATTTTATGTAACAGCTGGTCTTCACCATACCACTTCATCTGTATATACACATATATAATCAGCTTCATAGCACAGCAACACCAGCCATCTCATTACCAAGCATATCAAAGCTTTCTCTGTTTGAAACCTTCCTTGTTGGTATTTATATCAAGAAATTTCAAAACCATGGGTTTCCGGTGGCCTAGTATTGTACATGCTAAGAAAAACCAAACACCTTCAAAGTGTTGGAATCCCACATCGGTGGGGTGAAAGAAAACAAATGGGTTTAAATAGAATTACCACACTCTAACTAATACCGAGGCCTTTTGTGATAAAAACCTCACACCTGACGGATTGGGCGGGTGGTAAAGTGGGGACAGTATCGGTGTTGTTAGAGTGGGACCCAACGGGCAGATCCAAATTTTCAACATGGTATCAGAGCCAGGTTCGTACAAGCTAACGACGCTTGTCATAAAAAAAAAAAAAAAGGGGAAACAAGTCGGACTCTAATGCCAACGAAGCTTGAAAAGAGCCGACCTCTGAGTTCCATTGAAAACAAGTGGGCCCAACGAGAGCCGACCTCTGAGTTTCAATTGCCGATGTGTGGATCTTCACGTTTGATTACACGTGAGGGGGAGTGTTGGAATCCCACATCGGGGGAGGGCAAGTGGGGTGAAAGAAAACAAATGGGTTTAAATAGAATTACCACACTCTAACTAATACCGAGGCCTTTTGTGATAAAAACCTCACACCTGACGGATTGGGCGGGTGGTAAAGTGGGGACAGTATCGGTGTTGTTAGAGTGGGACCCAACGGGCAGATCCAAATTTTCAACACAAAGTCCTTAGATGTCCCTAAAGGCTATTTTGCGGTCTATGTTGGGGAGAGCAAGAAGCGGTTTGTGATCCCAGTATCATACTTGAACCAGTCCTCTTTTCAAGATTTGTTAAGTCTAGCAGAAGAAGAATTTGGGTATGATCATCCAATGGGAATTATTACAATCCCATGCAGTGAAGATGCCTTCCTTGATCTCACCTCCGGCTTGAGTGTATGAGCAGAAGCAAGCCTCCATATATATACACAATTTTGACACCGGAGGTTGCAGGTGTACAAAGGAGCACTTGTCTACCCAGCTAACTTGAAAGGTCTATCTTCCAGTGACATGATGATATCCTTTGATGGGAGCGGCCTTTAGCAATCACCGATTAGAACTTCAAACCCTTGTGAGCTGAGGAGAAAATTGCCAGCCTAGTGGACATAAATTCCCTGACATTTATTTTTAGAAGAATATAATGACCTATATTACTTTGAATTTGAAAGATGGCAAGACATTTATTTTCAACCCCATGTACTCTGTTGTCCTGCAAGGAAACTTGAGATTATAATATTTTCCTCTTAACAGAATTGCTTACAGTTCTCTCATTCATTATTCTTGATTTTATCATTAGCTTACTAAGTAATCCAAGTATTCCCATTGGCAGCATATTTGCACGCAAGTAAATAATGGAATATTTGACAGACCAAGTCTCTAATGGTAGTACTGGAGCAGAATCTCTCTTTTTATTTATCTATTAAAACAATCAAATCCTGAACTTAATGCCATTTCCTGGAGTTTCAGTAAACTAAATTAGGCCAGGCTTCATATGCAGAGACTAATCAGGTCTGCAGAATTTATTTTGATTTGGTCTTGCCAAGATACATACGTATATATATATTGGTAACCAACCTCGACCATAGGATCGAGGAAATTTTATTAGAAGAAAGAAAGAAATGGATAAGAGATACATATGGTCACAAACTTCTCTCTGTATTAAGAGGTTAGTATGCTAAAGCAGCTTAATAATTGGAGACTTTTCCGTCCACAACTAGGCAAATCCAGAATACCATAGTGGTTCAATTGAAGTAAGCTTGATTTCGTTTTTAGCTACCCACGTCCACGACTGCCAAATTCCTGACAATGATTCGAGCTGCTGATGACCACAGATTCCTGCATGGAGTATTTAATGCAGAACATGTACACACATATCACAGCATCCTCTCTAAATATATGCATCAAACCGTTTAATTATGCTAATGTAATGTATAGGTACACTATCCCAGTCAGAAGGTCTCAAATGTATATATGATTTTAGGAAGTGAACATAGTCTTGTTGAAAGCAAAACCTCTATTACAAGAGGTGAGCCAACTTAAAAAAAGAATATGCTCTATCTAATGTGTAGAAAACTCTCCAATTATATAGCTTATATATACTTAATATAGACGCTTTTATATACATCTACATATATATGAGATGGTAAAGGTGCCTTCGCTGCAGGGGATTGTGATGCCACCATTGGATGATCGTATCCAAATTCTTCTTCATTTCAACTTAAAAAATCTTGGAATGAAGGGTGGTTCAATTCTGAAACGGGAATCACAAACCCGTTCATTTGGCTCTTGCCAACTTAATTAGACTGCAAAATAGCCTTTCTGGAGGCCTTTTGAAGGTACTTGGTTTGCAGTTGGTAGAGTCTGGAAAGAACTATTCTTCACATCTACAATAACACCAGGCAACCAAAACCCACGGTCTTGATATTTCTCAACAAAACCATATGCAAAGCAAAACAAGTCTTCTCATTTCCCAAGCTGATAAAAGCTCTCTGTTTTGCTTTTATTTTATTTTATTTTTAAATTGTTCTTTGTTTTGTTGAGAAATATCAAAGCAATCCCTGTTTTATATCAATGTGAAAATATGTCAAATGAAGTTATGCTGAAAATAATCTGATCTATGTGTATATATATAGATGAAGAATAGCACAAAATGATTGGTGATGAGAAACAAGGATGGACCCAATTGAGAAACCTTAGATCATGGAACAGCACATAGACCTTTCTTCCGGTTAACCAAGAAAAGCTCATGAGTCATTGTCTATGTCAATGAGAAAACATCATGTCCTACCTCTCTTTTAAAAGCAAGAGAGACCAACAGGAAAAAAAAAATCCTGCTTAGAAGATAAGTCTCTATTAGATCACGGACATGGTTGAGACCACGTGGACCCCAATACTAATTTGCAGATCAACTATCTCATATAGCAATAATTATCAGTACTATTTATAGATTGATTGAAGAAAATGGTACGTAATCTGTAACCAAGGATTGCTCGTCACAATTTGATCTTTCATAGAACAACATCACATGGAGGGTGGTTACTTGCTCCCAGTTTAGCTATCATATGACCTTTAAATTCATGGCTCCAAATCCCAACAGATATAGATTGTGAAGCATCAACAATTATCACACAAGCTGACAGCTTCTATGTGGTTGTGATATTTTCCAGTGTCATAGGTAAAACTTAAGAACTGGTCTATTCAAGTGAGGTGGGGCATGATGTTTGTTGAGTATTGCCACATGATTTTTCCTTCATGAGTTGGAACACAAGTCCATGTGATATTCCATGAGCTAATGTCTCTCACCGGGGTCCATTGTGGTGATTCTTCACCAATCATTTAACGTAAAAGATGGTCTTCCCCACACCATTTCATCTATAAAAACACACACATGCTCAGATTCAAGAGCGAAGCAACACAAGTGTTTCTATTCCTAAGAATATCTTATCAGAGCTTTCTCACTTCATTTGAAATCTTCCTTTTTGGTCTTTGTGGGAACCGAATTAAATCATACCCTAGGTCAAATAATTCCTTTCATTTGGGGATTATTTGACCTAATTGGGAATTACTCAACCTAATTGGGAGTTACTCAATTTAATTGGGAGTTACCCAATTAAATTGAGAATTACCTAATTAAGTTGGGAATTGATTTGATTCCTACCCCAATTTCCAATTAAATGAGGAGTTACTTAATTAAATTAGGATTTGATCTGATACCTACCACGATTAGGGATTTGATTTACCATAATAAATCAATTCCAAATAGGAGAGGAATAATTCCCTTCCATCTATGGAATTATTCCTCTGAAACCCTAATCTCGGAGACCATTATAAATATTTGGCTATGCACAAAGGTCAAGGTACGTCTAAATTCCTACTGAAACTTTGCAGAAATTATTTCTCACAAACCCTAGCCACCACTTTCTTTCTCTCTCTGACACAAGGCTCCGGCCACCACACA